AAAAATGCAATAGAATATCTAGGCACAGGCATTTCTCTTTACTATGAAATTGTGAATAAAGCTTAATGTTGAAGGAAAAGGACAGATGAAGAAAAAGAAGATGAACTCCTGAATACAAAACATTCTGTTAAATGACAAAAGGACTCCCATCCAACAATTTTCTCCAATTTCTACTGAAAAAGGAATCGTGTATATTGAAGGCTATGAACAGAAGTACAAGTTTACTTTTAACGTATTGGAAATGTGTTGATATGGGGTTCTAAGCAAAACTCCTACAATAAAAACAAAGACACACACACACACAAAAAAAAAAAAAAAAAAAAAAAAAAAAAAAAAAAAAACTGCTTGGCTTAATGTTTCATTGTTTCATTACAAACTGGGAACTCAGCCCACATTCACTGAAAGGTTCATATACATTTTGTGTGAACTTGGGCCAATCTACTTCACATTTTCACATCAAGAACACTCAAGATTTTGTGGGTTTTGCATGGTTTCAGTGTGAAATTGGGTGAAACCAATATTTTGCTTAGAGTTCTGGTATCTATCCAACTGAATCCAAACACAAAGTAAAATTCAATGAGCATAAAGGCAAGTTTTGCACACCACCAAGTTTTGCACAGCTATGAATGACACCTCTTTTTCAGATCATTCAATAATAATCAAAAATCAAGGGTAGGATTCACAAGTCCTGGTCTTTGAAAAAAAAAAAAAAAAACTGCATTCATTAAGATCTGAAACTGTTTAGTCAAAACTGGTACAAACATGTTTTGTGGGCAACACTGCTTAAGTTATATTGTTATTTTCATAGACTTTGCTTAAGTTACTTAGAAAGCAACTTAAGGTGAATTATATACAGAATTTTAACATCTAATTAGGAGTATTTGTTAATGCTCTATCAAATAAAAGTTTCTCTAGTTAATATAACTTTTTCTTGCAAGTAAAACATGAAAGAAAGAGAACAGTGAGAAAGGAATGTGATTAAAAAGAAACAATAGAATTTGATTCCCTAGTGCTTATTACATTTCATGGATACTTATATCTATTAAGAAAGGACTGCAAAACAGCACTCTAATTTTAATAAATCAATATATATATATATATATATATATATATATATATATATATATGTTTTAACCTTTTACAGCATTAATTTCACCTGCAAAGAAGAGTAATGCAAGATTCAGGATAGGAAAGCCTCAGTTTCATGCTTATAACTCATATGATTCAAATTCTGAAATATTACAAAGAAGTACTGTAAAACACTTTCGTGGACATGGAAGAGGAATACTAGTTTGCAAAATGAAAAATGTAATAGATTTGATCCTACTGATTGAAAAAAAAAGTCTAAAACAGCAGTTCTACTGACACTGCAGAACAGGGATTCTTAGACTGAGTTTATATATGAAATCTGAATATGTATCAAAAGGTGTTCTTCTCTTCCAAGTTAAGAGAATTGTGATATAAGGGTTATAGAGATGATATGATTTAGGTTGATTGCTAACTTGTTTTTAGCCTTGAGAAATTTCTGGATTAACTGAAGTTGAATTTATGCTGGTAATATGTTCTAATACAGAATTGATAATCCACTTTTAAAAAAATCAAAAGCATTTATTGTGTTATGTTAGTCAACCTGCATTAAAAAAAAATCTAAAATTCTACTTCAATTTTGCTATGACTGTTCATACCTGTATCTAAGGTGTAACATCCGTACTGGCTAAGGAAAGAACAGATTGAATCATATCTAGATAAATCAGATGTTTTCAAAGTGACTGGGCATGACAGACTTCATTTTCCAGTATTGCATCAAACCACCAATGACTTATCAGAGCCATTAGTAATATTCTCCAAGAAGTCTTGGTAGACAGGAAAGGTGCACTGTGGTATCTACTTTTCAAAATGGAGAAAAGAAGGACAAAGAATCATAGACCAATTGGCTTAATTAAATATTCCATTTGTGTCAGCTTTAAGAAGCTTGTTACGTAAGAAAAGATTTACTTAGAAAATAAGTTCCTTCCAAAATAAGACTGTATTTCAGTCAATGTGAATGTTCAATTCTTTTTCACTTCCTGGTTTCAAGTCAAACAGCACTGAAATAAGCAGTCCCTATTTAATAGCCACCTGCCTGGCTGACTTTACTCATTTGTGTAATGTTTTATTGAAACATTACAAAACCTCAGTAAAAGGGAATAATTGTAACAACAAATCATGCTATAGCCATATTAAAGAACAGTTATGACATCTTTAACAATATTTGGACTACATATAAATTGTATTTATAGTTATAATACCGGTATCTTAACACCAGCCCCAGTCATTGCTCCTAGTATTAACACTGAGAAGCTTTAAATGGAAAAAATCAATCATTCACCTACTCAGAAAAGGTGATCAAGATAACATAATTTATTAACATTATATTAACAATTAATAGATTGTGTTAATAGGTATACGAATAAAAATATCATATGAATAAACATACTGAAGAATAGTTGAAACAAATCTCTAATGAGAAATACCCTGAAAATCCTTTGCAGTTCTCTGAAAGAGATAATAAGCATGTTGAAGAGAGATCAGACCAACAGAGTTATCTTGGTCTTTGAAATAGCTTTGACAAGTTCCCTTATCAATAGATATTAAGGAATCTAAGCATCCATGAAAAAAACAGAGAAGCTCTGTGCATTGGCAATTACATGGCTAGAACTTACGGAAAAGATGTTGGGAATAAAAATCCACAGTGATGGAAATTAGAACTATACTGTTAAACTTCCTAGGAATAGAAGAGACTCAATAGCAAGGTGCCAAAGTTACCAAGAATACTGTTATCACAGAATCACAGAATTGTCTAGGTCAGAAGAGACCTCAAAATCATCAAGTCCAACCTCTGACCTTACACTAACTCTACTAAATCATATTGCTAAATTCAACATCTAAATGTCTTTTAAAGACCTCCAGGGACGGTGACTCCACCACTTCCATGAGCAGCCCATCCAATGCCTCACAACCCACTCAGTAAAGAAGTTCTTCCTAATATCCAACATAAAACACCCCTGGCACAACTTTAGCCTGTTCCCCCTCGTCCTGTCACCAGCGACACGGGAGAATAGACCAACCCCCACCTCGCTACAGCCTCCTTTAATGTTCTTATAAAGAGCGATAAGGTCACCCCTGAGCCTCCTCTTCTCCAGGCTGAACAAGCCCAGCTCCCTCAGCCGCTCCTTGTAGGATTTGTTCTCCAGACCCCTCACCAGCTTCATCGCCCTTCTCTGGACTTGCTTGAGCACCTCGATGTCCTTCTTGTTGCGAGGGTCCCAAAACTGAACACACACTCGAGGTGCGGCCTCACCAGAGCCGAGTACAGGGGGACGATCACCTCCCTAGCCCTGCTGGCCACACTGCTTCTTATACAAGCCAGGATGCTGTTGGCCTTCTTGGCCACCTGAGCACACTGCTGGCTCATATTCAGCCGACTATCTACCAATACTTCCAGGACCTTCTCCGCCTGGCAGCTTTCCAACCACTCATCTGCCAGCCTGTAGCTCTGCTTGGGGTTATTGTGCCCCAGGTGCAGGACCCAGCACTTGGCCTTGTTGAACTTCATACAGTTGACCTCAGCCCATCGGTCCAGCCTATCCAGATCAAACAGTTGTCTAGTTAACCAGACAAGTTATACTGAATGTTGGATACATATTGAACTGTTATAATCCCACATATAAAACCATGGGATCTAAGCTGAACATTGCCTCTACAGATGTTAAATAGTAGGGTTATTATTAACCATTCTCTGAAAATTTCAGCTTACTAAACAGCAATCAAAAAGGCAAGCTGAAGATATAAATTATGGTTAGTGAGGAAAAGTAAAATGTGACCACCATTATAAAATTCCTGGTTTGTCCTACCTCAAATATTGTAGGCTAAGTATCTCAAAAAAAAGATATACAATTGGAAAGTACAATAATATACATATATGAAGCTCTTTTAATGACTAGAGGAGGTTTAGACAAAAAAAAAAAAAAAAAAAAAAAACATGATTAAGGTCAACAAAATTGTGAGCAGCATGCAGAATGCAGTTTGGATCTGATTATTCAGTACTACTTCAAACACAAAGCTAGCTGGTACAAGATTCAGAGGCAACAAATGTGTGTGACCACACAGTGCTTAATTAAACTGAGGTCTTCCTGAATTGGGAATAATTTTCTGTATATAGTACACGTGTGAAGAAGATACCGGTTTTAGATCATCTCTTTTAGTACTGGTTAGTGTGCCATGCACTCCTGTGTCGCATGGTAGAGTAGACTAACTCTTAACCTGTCCCTACTTCGCTCCACATTTATATTGCATCTCCTTCCAAAAATGCTAGAAAATGTCATGATCAAGCTTTAAGTCAGGATTTACACAAGCTTGCTATAGATTAGTTCTCTTTACCCTGGATACCAATCACTGGCACTTTTCTGTATATAGCAACTGTACAACTTTCTTAGAGAACATTTCCATGTCAATTTGCCTATGAACATTTTATCCCATTAATTTTTGTTTACAGGAACATTCAGAAAGTCATATTACACCTGCTTCTTCATCAAAACAAAACAATAACAACAAAAAGCCAAAACCGAAAAGATAGCAGTGGATAGAAAAAAATGAGCACATGGCTTTCTGACCACCTCTTGTTGCCATCCATGAGTTGAGAGGATGTACTCTGTAAGCTCTGCAGAATGAAGGAAAGGTATTTCCAGGCAAACACGGTGACCAGTTTGCTAAGAACTGTATGCCCTGAAAATGAAAATTCACTCCTAAATGCTACAGAATGTGAGATATTCTGACCAGTATATATTATGGGAAGATTTGTTCATTAGAAAAAAATATTTTCAGTGACAAAAATGAGAACAGGTAATTTTGAACTATATTATTGTGCAAAATTACTTTTTACTCTTTTACTCTTTTTACTAATTTACTTCGAAGTTCTTGGACAAGTAAAATGAAATAAGTCATATTACTTCTGCTTACAGAGATGGGAAGAAGGAAACCCAATTTCTACTCTCAACCCAAAGAACTGGATGTTGCAGAGGTCAGTGGAGACAAAAAGCCAGTCTGATCTTTTCCATCTTGCAACAGACAGAGCAGTAGCACAGCTTCTTCAATAACATGCAAAGACATTAAAACCCTTTATTGGGACTTGATCAGGATCAAGCCCTGAATAACTTCAGGGCTTCATAGCCCCGAATAACTTCTACAAATGCCTTTTCTACTCAACAGAAACCGAGAAGGGGGGAAAATATTGAGTTTGTTTCTTATTCCATTACAGTGCGCCACCAATATAAGCAGTTACAGATTTTTTTCTTACCTGGTGGGTTCCTTCCCTGTGCTTGCTTCTATGACAGATTCTAATCACTTTTTGATTTTTTGGCTAAGTAACCAAGGGAAGTAAGAATTTTCATGCAACAAACCACAAATTCCACAATGCATATTTGCACTCAATGTGCCTCACTGTGAGAGATGATAAACTGAGAAATGAGGGGGGAAAATGACATTGTGCTATTAGATCTCTTCACAACAGCAATTGCAGCAGGAGACTTTTCAAACCCACACCTACAGATATTTTCACTTCACAACTCTGAGTAGTCAGAGATTAGAAAGAGCAAGAGCCTCTCTCAGAGAACTGAAACAAACACAGATGCATGTCTTTATATTCTCATAATCATGGAATGATAATAAAGCACACCAGAGATAAATAATGCTTCTTTCACCTTCAGGCAATCTGAAAGTTGAATGGAATTGCTGCCAAGTTGCTCCTTTTAAACACAGTTGTGAAAGAAATTGGTTCTTCTATGCATTTGTCACGAGTGTTTCAATATTATGAATTCTCTCAAATACTAGCTTCCTAAAATTTAAGTGCAAGTGCATGGTTAAGGGTTGGGATTTTATTATTATTATTTTATTTTTTATATAATATATCTAGACTGTAGCAAGGTCCCTCCACCCCCACCTCACTGTATCATTTTGAGCAATTATCCAAAATCTGAGACTGCACCATCTGGAAGTCAGTTTGCCTAATTGGTGCTCTCTCGCCTGTGGCACTCATGTGTCATGTGTTTTGCGATAACCACATTCACAATTGGAATTTATGTGCATAGTACAGGGGAGGATTGTTTACACTTGTATCATTTAAGTTCATAAGGTCCATGGGAATGAAGATCAGCATGATGAATTCTGAAGTACTTAAGCAAAACAAGTTTAGTGTTAATGTCTCAAATTCTATGAAGGAAGGCATGTTAAAACAGGAAAAAATATGGGCCACAACTGCTGAGAAATCTGTGTCAGCAGGGACTTCAAATGCTAATATTGAAAGGTTCCTTATTTTTGCTTTTCCTGTGTTGAAATTTCATGGTAGTTTTATGAAACAGGTAGAAGAGGTAAGATGAACTGAAAGATTTATTAGCTTTTCTGATATTCTCATTTAGATCTATGATGTTCCTGTAATGCTATAGTTCTATCTATACTTGTAACTGTATCTAATAGATACCTAGATTTATATTTAGTATGTATATACACATAAATCAGATAAAGCTGTACCTACATCCTTTAACTAACTGGAATTAGTTTACACCAAATATTTTAAACCTTAGTATCTAAGGCATTTAAGTGGATTCATCCCAAGTCAACTGCCACCACCTGAAGACGGTGCAGCTCCAAAGAAAATCCTTGAGGAAAAAGGGCACAGTTATTGCAGTGCCTGTTCCCATTTGAAAAGAAGTCACCATTTTAAAGACAAGAAAATTAAAATGATCCTTTGCAGACAGCTCAGATAAATACCCTTGGTTTTAACTTATAAATTGTTGAACATTCATCTTCAGTGAGTTCTTGCTATTGAAACAATTATTAAGTAACACAATATTACTAGAATTATAGTTCTGATTTTTAGAATCAGTTGGAAAATCTGGAGGTATCTTTTCACTAGTGTATTCCAGTTCGATGGAGATGATTCAATTCTGATGAAGTTACCCCCTCAAAAAAAAAAAAAAAAAATCAGAGTCCTGCTTTGATTTATTTATTTATTTATTTATTTAAGTTTGCTTGCTGGGCTTCTGGGCTTCTCAGCAGTTGCATTCCTACAGTCTGCAGCTCCATGTGTCAAAGATTTCAAAGATTGTCAACAGGGTTGGCCTTCCAGTATGCACTGTTGCACCTGGACCTGCAATGCTTTGATGAAATCTGGTTACCATTGTCTTAAAATATTCAGGCACAGCATTACAAGTCTTTTCTTTGTGCACAGCTGATCAGTGGAATTTCCTAGCCAAGAAAACTCAGATCATTCAACTCCAGTAAACAGAATTCCATGCTCTGGTATAAGTGGATCAGTATTAGTAATTAGAGTCCTATGAAAACTGGGAAATTTTCTTTGTCTCCAGCATAAAATACATTGCTCATATTAACAATATCTAGCTCATTATTACAGTACAAAACTCTTGTAACACTTGAACCCCAAAATCTACAGATAAGGAGCATACTATCACAAATACATTGAAATGTATCCACTTCTTAAATCTGTCTTTAACATGATAAAAATAACACAGCTATAAAAAGGCTGTGTTACTGTTTCATCTGCATTAAAGGACTATTCAGTGCATTTTTGCTTGTTCTGCAAGAATTTGGATAACTCATACCACTAATTCAGTGTACTGCAGAGACATCTGGTCAACTGACCGTCTAGGCATACACAGATAAATTTGGAGAGGTAGAAATACAATTTTAACTCATTACTTTGTCTTGCTTTATAGAAACGAGTTTTGGAAAGCGTCATTAAAATGTTGTAGGCAATAAATACGTAAATATTACATTCATCATATGACAAATATAAGCATAAACTATAGCAAGCTTGAGAATTTTCAACATCCTGAAGCTACAAGCAAGGGTGTATCAGTATATAAAAGACTATTTGCAAAAATTATTTAAAGTATATGAAGAAAAATATTTAATAGTCCATGCCAACTCATTATCTATGAAAGGGCAACGCGCTGTAATTTATTTTGTGTACTTATTGCTAGAAGAATAAAAATAGGCTTAGGATATTTTAGCAAGTGAGATTTTTAAAAAATAATATTCAAGTAGGTAAAGTTCATAAAAAGACAATGCATATAAAGTGAGTAAAAAAGATTGTACAATAAGTTTTTTGCATGATTCAAGTTTTTTTTTTTAAATAAAAATTATTTTAAATAACATGATAATTTTATGCGCTCATAGCTTTTTAGATTGTGTTTGTTTTTTCTTTGCAAAATAGTTATACTTTCATAATTCTTTTGTTATGGGAGAAGTTTTGTTCATAAATTTTAAAAATGAATTTTCATATACTCAAAGAGCTGGTTGTCCCTTTAGAGAGGTTGGTTTCATTTTATTTTAAAGTCTTGAATTTTTATTTAACTGGAGAAGTTTTAAAGCAATTTTCATAGAAACATTTACCCTCAAAAGCTAGAATTCTATACTTCAGATAGAAATAAGAACAGAGCCTGTAAGATACTTTTTTTTTTTTAAGCCAAAAAAAGATCAAAGAAAGGATCTTAAACCCCAGCATATGAAATTTGAAAATGTAGTTATGAAAGGCAAAAAACAGTTTGAGGAGCAACCAGATACAGGGATCAAAACTAGCTTTAAATCCTCCAAATGCCTCAGAAAGACAGAGCCTGCTACTGCATATAACGTTGACCGATATTCATAGTATAAAGACAATACTGAGAAAAGATCTTTGCAGTAATCTCATCTTAAGTGAATTATTTGAATTGGCATACTGAGGAAGAAACTGCTGGGGTCCTGACTTGGGAAATCATCTGCAGAAGAGAATACAACTAACCTGGTAAACACTAACACATCACCTGAGCCAGTGCTCAATGACAAATTTTAACAGAACTCAGTAACAAAATACCCCAGCTATTTACATACATGCATTTTCTATGCATGTAAACACCTCAGCACAGAAATGCAGACAAGACCAGGGATGGAGGGGTTGCTTTCCCTCTGATCTCCTGATTCACCTGAATTTTGGCTAGGCTGAGTTCTGTCAGCGTCCTTCCCATTTTGGGGGTAACCTGGCATAGCACATCTCAGATTTTCTTTCGAGCCATACCCCACAGACTGTTCCAATCTTCCCTGTTTACTCAGTTCTCCACAACTTCTGTCTCCTGAATAAGTAGTGAAATGGTTCCAGAGCTCCTCACTCCTTGTTTCCTGACTTTCAATCCCCATTGCATTATGTAAGCATACTTTGAAATCAGTAGCTGTATACACACACAAGTGTATGTACACACAGTACAAGGCTCTTCTGCACCAAACATTAATATTGCAGAAGACTGTAATCCATTGCCCTTTTCATTCCAGTCTTGATATTCTTCTAAATTTCTGTTAAAAGACATTTTGTCATGTTAGAATTCCCTTTTCACCATTTACTTTCAGCTGTCCTCTTCATATATATTATGTCAGCCTACAATTAAATAATTAACTATGAACTAAATGGTGTATTCCTTCTTAAATGACTTTCAGAATTCAAATCTACTTTTATTTCTTTAAACACAGCCCAGCAAGATCCATTGGGATGACATATTGATTATGAGCTCACTTGGTGTGGATAGTTACAGCTACTGATTATGTACTGAAAAGTATATATGCATATATTACAAAATGTAGAAAACTTCATTGCAAAACTTCCCTTTAAATCACATAACTGCTTTTGAGCAATGAATTTTTAGAAAACTTTCTGGTGCTCAGTAGTTTCTAAGCATTCTAGCCTTTTTAACAATTTTTGACTATGAATAATATAACCCTAAGAGCGAATGTTTTTCATTAAGAGTTTCTCTTGCTTCTTCACTACTTATAAAAAAAAATTACTCTTACTCATCACAGGGAGGGAAAAAAAAAAAAACTAGAATATAAGTGGCCTTTCAAATAATTATAATATCTGCATATTCTATACTTTGATATTTGACAGCAAGGAGATGCACAAGGTCAGAGTCCTTGGCTGGAAAGTTAAGGGAAAGTTAAGCTCCCTAAGAAGGACAAAACATACCGAAATTGCAGATT